GGAGATCGAGACCATCCTGGCTAACACGATGAAACCCCGTCTCTACTAAAAAATACAAAAAACTAGCCGGGCGAGGTGGCAGGCGCCTGTAGTCCCAGCTACTCAGGAGGCTGAGGCAGGAGAATGGTGTGAACCTGGGAGGTGGAGCTTGCAGTGAGCTGAGATCCGGCCACTGCACCCCAGCCTGGGCGACAGAGCGAGACTCCGTCTCAAAAAAAAAAAAAAGAAAAAAAGAAAAAAAAATCTAGCATGCAAAATCCAGAAGCAAACGAAGCATAGCTCTCCCAAAAGAAGAAAATTTTCTCAGGTAGCTTTGCATGGTACTGTAATGATACAAATTCAATTAAAACCTCAGAGATGAGATGATAATAAAATGAGAAGAGAAGGAAGATTTCAGAACTAAATAAACAAATTAATGACATAATTTTACAACATTACTAAATTAGAGCAAGAAATACACAGGTGTGGCTGAAAATCAAACCTCTTTCTTTCTTTATCTTTATCTCTACCTTTAAGATGGAGTCTTGCTATGTTGCCTAGGCTGGTCTCAAACTCCTGTGATCCTCCTATCTCAGCCTCCCAAGTAGCTGGGACTACAGGCTTGTACCACTGTGCCAGGCTGAAAATAAGATTTCTGGTGTAAAAGGAAAATTTATAATAATTATGAAATTGCAAAAATAACTAATGATAGCAAATGAAGAAGATAAAATAAATATGAACAATAATAAATATACAAATTGTTAATTTAAAAATTAGTATTATCTGTCTTATAAGTGGAAAGTGGGAGTGTAATTCTTGGAAAGAAGAGAATTACTTTAAAATGATGGAATATATTTACTTAATTTTTAAAAAAATGTATGTGTAAATATGTTCATTATCAAAAAAATCTGAAAATACAGAAGAAAAAAAGCAGGTAAAACTCATTTAAATCTTGGGCATGGTGACTCACAATTGTAATCCCAGTACTTTAGGAGGCCAAGGCAGGAGGATGACTTGAGGCTAGGAGTTCCAGACCAGGTTGGGCAATATAGTGAGACTTCATCTTTATTTATTTATTTATTACAAAGTATAATCCAAATCTCACCACTTAAAGGTAACTACTATTAATAGGTTTTTGTATGTCTGTTATACACATTTTTTACCAAAAAATAAAAATGGGATTATAGCTTAATCATTTTATAATCTTTTTTAAAATGCAACAATTTGTTGTGAACATCTTTGCCTATAAATAAGTATACTTCTCTAGCATCATTTTTAATGACAACATAGTAATCCATTATGTGTATATAACATACACTATGCAGCTAGTCTCTAATGGGTGTGCATATTTTCACAATGTTTTTCTTTCCTTTTTTTGAGGCAGGATCTCTGTTGCCCAGGCTGGAGAGCAGTGCTGCTATCAGAGCTCACTGCATCCTTGAACTCCTGGACTCCCTAAAGTGCTGGGATTACAGGCATGAGACACTGGGCCTGACCCTATTTTTACAGTTTTTGATGAATATTTTCAAATTACCTTTCAGAAAGGTATTTAGCAGCTAATCTATTTTGGTTGCCCACCACTCTACACTGTTCTCCATCTCCACTACCACCTCCTACTCATAGCAACCCCTCCCACGCAAACCACAAGGAAAGACACATGACCAATAATAAAAATACTCAGTAGGATTTATGCAGTATATTCTGCTTTTTAGGGATTGTTCTGTGTATTTCTACACAGAATGTAATCTTTACAATGTAATCCCTAGATTACAGATAAGGAAATGAAAACAGTAAAGGTCAGTAATTTCCCAAGGTCACACAGCTAGCTGGGATTTAAGTCCATTATGTCCAGCAACACAGAACACATGCCCTTTCCCAATCAGGGCTATACTGCCTCAACTCTGTTTCCCTGGCTACTGTGATTGACTCAGGGAAGAACCCCAGTTGGGTCAATCAGAATCTTTCTCCAGGATTTTCTGCTGCATCCAGCAGGGAACTCTTGCATTTTTGAAGTAGTTAAACATTGTGCCTGAACATAAATGACCCCTGAGTGTTTTAGGAAGAATAAAGAAAGAAAAGTAGAGCTGAACTTTTTGATAGGGAGTAAAAGGAAGCCATGACAACCTCACTTGAACTCTTGGTCCAGTCCTGTTTAATTACCATTCTACCCAATTATGTGAGCACAAAATCCTCCCCACCTACTTTACATATATATATATATCTATCTAGTGAGAGAGAGAGAGATGAGTCATGCTATATTGACCTCAAGCAATCCTCCCACCTTGGCCTCCCAAAGTGTTAGGGATTACAGGTGTGAACCACCATGCCCAACCTCTACCTACTTTTTTTTTCTCTTAAGTTGGCTTGAATTCTATTTCTGTCACTTTGGATCACAAGATTAATACATGATAACTTAAATTCCCACCAACATGAGAGTTCGTTTTCCTGCATCTTTAGAAAATATTAAGCATGTGAATTAACAGAGAGAAGAACACCAGAGATTAGAGAAAAGCAAGAATATGATTCCTGAAAGGTGCTTAATACATGACTTAACAAAACTAACTTTAATTGCCAGCAGTAGGATTTTTTAAACCTTTTTTTTTTTTTTTTTTTGAGACAGATTATTGCTCTGTCGCCCAGGCTGGAGTGCAGTGGCACGATCTCCGCTCACTGCAAGCTCCGCCTCCCGGATTCACACCATTCTCCTGCCTAAGCCTCCCAAGTAGCTGGGATTGCAGGCGCCCACCACCATGCCCGGCTAATTTTTTGTATTTTTAGTAGACATGGGTTTCACCATGTTAGCCAGGATGGTCTCGATCTCCTGACCTCAAGATCCACCCGCCTGGGCCTTCCAAAGTGCTGGGATTCCAGGTGTGAGCCACTGCACCCGGCCGGAAAAGGATTTTTAAAAATAAAAGTATAGACACAAGGTGAAAATTCTACAGAAAAATATGTAACAGAGTTCTCAATGAATAGAAGAAAGCGGAGTTGAGGAATGGGTGAATTGCTTAATCTTTCGCCTGCTGAGTTTTCATTCCTGGTATAGCAGAAAGGAAAAAAAAGAGATAACTTTTTTTAAGAAAGAATTTCAGTAAGCAGCTTTCTGAAAACACTCATTTCTGTCACTGAAATTGCTAGAAATTCAAATATCCACAATACCTTTCCCTGTATTCTAGAAGAACACTTCCATAGTCTCTGTGCAGAGGCTTTTGATTACAGTTCCTGGATTTAAAGCGTCCGTATAGGGAAAGCTCCAGGTTTGCACATACTGCTTTAATTAAACAATAATGGATTTTCAGTAAGTAGGTCTTTTGCTCTCTAAATCTAAAGAGCTAAAGGTAGATAAAAGAAATATCTTTTGCTATAAGTGAAAAAGTAATTGTTGCTCTACTGCATATATTTCTGGGGAGAAAAAAAATCTCACCCTCAAGCTTGTGTTCTTTAAAATGAAATATTTTGACCAAGCACAGTGGCCTATGCCTATAATCCCAGCTAGCAAGGCAGGATAGCTTGAGGTCAGGAGTTCAAGACCAGCCTGGGCAACATAGAGAGAGACCTCATCTCTATTTTTTTAAAAATGAAATGTTAAAATATATAATGGATATTTTTAATTTTTATTATCGATAATGCAGTCTGGTGTCTGACATATTACATTTGTTTGCTTAATATTTTTTCTAGAAAAGTTTTGTCTTGGAAAAAAGCAGGGAAAACATTTTGAAGATTTATTTTAGAAAAGTAATGGAAGCTGGGTGCGGTGGCTCATACCTGTAATCCCAGCACTTTGGGAGGCCAAGGTGGGTGGATCACCTGAGGTCAGGAGTTTGACGGCAGCCTAGCCAACGTGGTGAAACTCCGTCTCTACTAAAAATACAAAAATTAACAGGGCATGGTGGCAGGCACCTGTAATCCCAGTTACTCGGGAGGCTAAGGCAGGAGAAATGCTTGAATCTGGGAGGCAGAGGTTGCAGTGAGCCGAGATCGCACCATTCCACTCCAACCGGGACAACAAGAGTGAAACTCTGTCTCAAAAAAAAAAAAAAAAAAAGAGAAAAGAAAAGTAGTAGTGGAAACTAGCCACTGTATTAGCACGGTTGGATGACTAAGGAAATGATATTTTACTAATGTAGTAAGATAGGGAGAAAATAGTAGGATAAGCCATTTTGGGTAGGTAAGGCTAAGACTAATTTTAGCATTAGAATCTGAAGTAATCATGGGGCATCTATTACAGAAGATAGTTGGACAGATGGAATTGGGACTCAGGAATGCTCTCAGAGCAGGTAATACAAAACCAAGAGTTATCTTTTGTCAAGAGTTTAGCCTCAGGAATGGAGGAGATTTCCAAGGTAGACAGTGAAGAAAGTGGAGTAGAGAACTACGAACTGGCCGGGCGCGGTGGCTCAAGCCTGTAATCCCAGCACTTTGGGAGGCCGAGACGGGCGGATCACGAGGTCAGGAGATCGAGACCATCCTGGCGAACACGGTGAAACCCCGTCTCTACTAAAAAATACAAAAAACTAGCCGGGCGAGGCGGCGGGCGCCTGTAGTCCTAGCTACTCGGGAGGCTGAGGCAGGAGAATGGCGTAAACCCGGGGGGCGGAGCTTGCAGTGAGCTGAGATCCGGCCACTGCACTCTAGCCCGGGCGACAGAGCCAGACTCCGTCTCAAAAAAAAAAAAAAAAAAAAAAAGAGAACTACGAACTAAAGCTTAGTGACTACCCAATATTAGTAGTCGAGGGATCAACTCTTCTAATGCAGTCAGGTGGATAGGAGAGGCATTGAGGAACAATGGTTTTAGGAAGGGCCTGGTGGGGAAAAAAGGTTGCTGCTCAGAGAGTAAAAAGAATTGAAGTCTAAGAGAACATCGGATTTAGGATTTTAGAAAGTCATTAGTGACTGTCAGAAATGTACTTTGGTAAAGTGGGGGTTATCAATGTTAGATTAGATGATGAAGACATTAAGAGACCTTCATTGTGTAAATTGTCTTTGCCCTTTTACTTACTTACTGTCCTTTTCTCAAGCAGGATCCTGAAGTAGGAAATCTATGAAAAAAATGACAAGACTCTGAAGAATTAACTCGCCAGGAGGGACTCAACTGGAGGCTTGAATCTGACCTGGAGACTGAGAACCCTTGAATAGATGAAGACAGTATCTTTTTTTTTTAAATCTATTTGTTTGGTTGCTTTTTGGGGACTAAGAAGTTTTTAAATTGCCCTGATATCTACAAGGCTGTCACAGGGAAAGATGATGACTGGAGAATACCTACACTACAGTAGATAAAAAGGCGGTGGCTTCCTAGGCTGCAGAGAACAAGTCCTTTCTAGCAGTGGCTCAGGACCACTGTTTTGAAAAGTCTAATTAATTTGCTTCTCTGACCTTGATTGCTACCTTTAAAAGAAGCTTTAAAGCCTGCTTGGTCTCCTAAACTTGCCAAGCCCTGCTGCCTGGGTCTAGTCAGCAATCTTGCTCTGCCCAGACCTCTTACTGTCTGACCACAGGGCTTAGCTAACCCCATTTGTGTCACACCCCACTGCTATGCCTCCTTTGGAAAGGCCTATTTAAGAAGTAGCTCCCTATATAAATGGAAGGACATTAAAGACTCTTAATGGAGTAAACACCCAGGAGATAAGGAATCAAGGGTGGAGGGGTTGGTCTTGGACATGGTAAATGTAGAGATAGAGACTATCTAGACAGAAAGGTTAAACTTAATAGTCTTCATTCTACAAAGTATGATGCAAATTCCTTTTAAAGAGGAACTGTGAATTGTATAGTATGTGAATTATCTTTCAATAAAGCTATTTTTAAAAAGCAGAGAATGTAAGAGATGGAATAGGATTAGAAAAGTATTGAGTTTAAAAATCACATTCATATTACGATGGCAATTCCTGGTTATGGGTCTCTTTAATGATGTTTCTATACAGAGTGAATGTAGTAGTCTGTATGTTTCTCTCTTCCTTTTTAATTGAAATATTAGATTGCTCCAAAGGTTTCCATATACTGTTCAACTTTCTAGCAGTCATTCCAGAAAAGGAACAAATGAAGCATTAACCATATGTTTACTAATCAACAAATGCAAATGTGATGGCTATACTAAATATTCTAATGCATAAATAATATTTATATTGTGTTAGGCTGTACATAACAGACAAGGCAACTAGCAGTGGCTTAAATAAAAAATATTTATTATTAAATATATATTATTATAATATGTTATTAAATATATATTTTATGAATATTTATTATTAGGCTGTGGCATGTGCCCATATTCCCAGCTGTGTATGCCAGAGGAGGCTGAGGCAGGAGGATCCCTTCAGCCCAGGACAGGAGTTTATGGCCAGCCTGGGCAACACAGCAAGACCCCGTCTCTGAAAAATTAAAAATAAAGACATACAATTGAGCCATACAACAATGATAGTTCCAGAATTGTTCAGCAGCAAAGTGTAGGCTTTCCCCTGATGGGCACACATTGGCTATAGAAACACCAAATGTTTTGTTCTCACCAGACAACATACAGAAAAGCAGGAAGGTGGGGAAGGAAAAAGGCATGCTTCTCACTTTCTACTTTTCTTTTATCAGGAAGAAAAATCTTTCTAGAAAGCTACCAAGCAAACTTCCTATTATATATCAATGGCCAGAAGTGGGCCACATTGCAAACCCCTAGTTTCAAGGGTGGCTGGGGAAGTGAAAATTAGCGTTTTTAGCCTTAGAAAAAGAAATGCATGGGCTGGGTGCAGTGGCTCAAGCCTGTAATCCCAGCACTTTGGGAGGCCTAGGCAGGCGGATCACGAGGTCCGGAGATTGAGACCATGGTGAAACCCCATCTCTACTAAAAAAATACAAAAAATTAGCCGGGCGTGGTGGCGTGTGCCTGTAGTCCCAGCTACTCGGGAGGCTGAGGCAGGAGAATGGCGTGAACCCGAGAGGCGGAGCTTGCAGTGAGCCGAGATTGCACCACTGCACTCCAGCCTGGGCCACAGAGTAAGACTCTGTCTCAAAAAAAAAAAAAAAAAAAAAAAAAAAAAAAAAAAAAGAAGTGCATGAAAGGAGGGGCTGGAAATGGCTGTTGGGTAGGCAACCAAACTGTCTGCTGTATAATTCACTGGGAAAAAGGATAATAAAACCAAGAAATATTTGCTTGAGGAACCTCAGATATGAGCAGATTTCATTTAAACTCACAAAGCTCAGAAGCTGAGAGCAATGATTTGAGATTTGAGTAGCATACTTGAATAGCAAGCAAAACTTCAAAAACCAAAACATGAACCTGGTTATGAAAATAAATCTGATTAAGGTAGCTCTGTGTTTTGGTTTCTACTGAGTTTGGGAGGACTGCAGATTTTTTGTAGTAGTGGCTAACTCTTCCTGGAATTCTCCCAGATGCTCAGGAGGCCAAGAGCCTGGATATCTGCATCTGAAACAAATTAGCCTATGATGTTTCGTTTTTTTTTTTTTTTCTTTTTGAGACGGAGTCTCACCCTGGTGCCCAGGCTAGAGTGTAGTGGTGCGATCTCAGTTCACTACAACCTCTGCCTCCCTGGTTCAAGCAATTCTCCTGCCTCAACCTCCCGAGTAGCTGAGATTACAGGCATATGCCACCAAGCCTGGCTAATTTTGTATTTTTAGTAGAGATAGGGGTTCTCCATGTTGGTCAGGCTGGTCTCGAACTCCCAACCTCAGGTGATCTGCCCGCCTCGGCCTCCCAAAGTGCTGGGTTTACAGTCGTGAGCCACCATACCCAGCCTCATTCCCCGTAGTAATCTGCCTTTTGTCAGTTTAATTGAAAGGCCCTAAAACTATGCTATCAGGGATAATTTCTGTAGATCATTACTATAGATCATTACTAGGGATAATTTCTATAGATCATTACTAGAGATCATTACTAATTTATGTAGATCATTAGTATGCTATCAGGGATAATTTCTATAGATCACTTCTGGAAATCATTACTATAGAAATGATCGTTTCTATACATCATTAGTAGAGATCATTACTAATTTATATAGATCATTAATATGCTATCAGGGATAATTTCTATAGATCATTTCTGGAAATCATTACTATAGAAATGATCATTTCTATACATCATTACTAGAGATCATTACTATAGATCATTACTAATTGAAAGACCCTAAAACTATGCTACCAGGAATAATTTCTATAGATCATTACTAGAGAAGCTTCTCTGTACCTGTAGAGCAAAAGTAAAAACAAAAACAAAAAAAAGAAAGGTCCCCATTGATGTACCTAAGAGGGTACTGCATCCATCTTGTGTCTCTTTTATAAAGGCACTAATGGCCGGGCACAGTGGCTCACACCTGTAATCCCAGCACTTTGAGAGGCTGAAGTGGGTGGATCATCTGAGATCAGGAGTTGGAGACCAGCCTGGCTAACATGGTGAAAATACATGTTTTTCATGTATTTTCAGAAAATACCCATCTCTGCTAAAAATACAAAAAAAAAAATAGCCAGGTGTGGTGGCAGGCGCCTGTAATCCCAGCTACTCAGGTGGCTGAGGCAGGAGAATCACTTGAACTTGGGAGGCGGAGATTGCAGTGAACTGAGATCGTGCCATTGCACTCCAGCCTGGGTGACAGAGCAAGACGCCCAAGAATTTGGAACTACAGGTACATACCACCACACCCAGCTAAATTTTTATTTTATTTTTTGTAGATACAGGGTTTCACTATGTTTCCCAGTCTGGTCTTAAACTTTAAATTTCTGAGCTCAAGTAATCATCTTGCCCCAGCCTCCCAAAGTCCTGGGATTACAGGTGTGAGCCATCGTTCCTAGCTCAGATATTATTTTCTGAGCTCCAACAAGTGTCTGTTCAAAGAAGCTATATGACTTAACCAGTCTTTGTACAAACCTCTTCTTTGGGAAGAAGTGGTTTCTAAAATGAACAAGTCTTTCTTGAGTTAAAAATGAGCCCTTCCTCACACCTGTAATCCCAGCACTTTGGGAGGCAGGGGCGGGCGGATCACGAAGTCAGGAGATCAAGACCATCCTGGCTAACACGGTGAAACCTATCTCTACTAAAAATACAAAAAATTATCAGGGCATTGTGGCGGGCGCCTGTAGTCCCAGCTACTCGGGAGGCTGAGGCAGGAGAATGGTGTGAACTCGGGAGTCCAAGGTTGCAGTGAGCCGAGATTTCGCCACTGCACTCCAGCCTGGGCAACAGAGCGAGGCTCCGTCTCAAAAAAAAAAAAAAAAAAGCCCTTTAGCAGCTTTGTTTGGTGTGTCTGACAGTAGCCACAGCAGCTAAACTAGTAGAAACTTCAGCAATTGTTTTTGTTTTTGGAGTCTCCTTTAAATGTCATGGTCCTTCATGCTGTATAATCTTTGGTTCTCACTGAATATATACAACATTTCTTAGTAAATAAGCTTATCTCTTATGAAATCCTATTACCTTCTCTGTTACGTATTTCTAATCATTGTTATAATCTTGGAAAATCCTATTACTTTCCTTCCATCACCTGAAGAAAAGGAAACTCTTGATTGTCTAACCTGTGTTTGTGAAATATCTGTGCATTAAATAGATTAGAAATTCCTTTAGAAAATCCAGACTGAACCTTGTTTGTTGGTGGGTCATATTTTAATATTAAAACAGAAAAATGTCACTTACACTACACTGTTAAAAAAATAACTAAATTCACCCCTAGAATATAACCCCTTGCCAGAAGTGGCAGACCTTGTAACCATAATAGATCCATTGCCCCATACACACAGCAAGTCAATATGCTGAGACACTATGTTGCAGCAGAGAAAGGTTTAATCAGAAGGCTGCCAAATGAGGAGACTGGAGGAAACTTAAATCCATCTCCTCAAGGGGCTTGGGGCTACGGTTTTTTTCTTCCATTTATTAGGGTTTCCATTAAAAGCACTACATTTCCATTCTTTACAACCATAAAAGAATAAATAATTTCAAAGGATTGCTTGATAGGAGATGTCTATTTTAAATGGAACTTGGAAATATCCGGGAAATCACTGGAATAAATGTACTTAATAGACCCAATGCTGTGAAATTCTTTTTAACTGTTTTCCTAAGCACATAAAAATATATAACACTTCCTCCGACATTTTTTGAAATACAATTTGGTTTGAGGTTTTTCTCTATAACATTTGCCATATAAATATTTCTTACAATGCTTTCATTGCCTGCCTGCCTGCCTTCCTTCCTTCCTTCCTTCCTTCCTTCCTTCCTTCCTTCCTTCCTTCCTTCCTTCCTTCCTTCTTTCTCTTAGTGCTGAGGCTGACTTCTTAACACCAATAAATTCTGACCCCTTTCATTGCTTTAATCTGCCAAGGAGGTACAGTTCAGAAACCGAAGGGAAAAGCAGGGCTTGCTCCCACAAAGCACTCAATCTCAGTTCCACATGGCTGGGAAGGCTTCGCCAGTCATGGCAGAAGGTGAATGAGAGGCACAGTCACATTTTACATGGTGGCAGGCAAGAGGGGGCTAGGAATTTTAAGGGTTGTAGATTGGGCTGAAATATGGATATCATTGATTGGTCAAAGAATACAGGGTGAAGTCATGCGACAGATGAAGAAACTGTATTATCATGCTGATTCAGTCCTCTGTGGTTCCTGGGGGTCTTTAAAGTGGTTGGCATCAGCTGTTCTGCTGGAATTCAGGATGTGCTTAAGCAATTCTTTTTGTTGTTGTTGTTGTTTTCCTGAGATGGAGTCTTGCTCTGTCACCCAGGTTGGAGTATAGTGGTTCCATCTTGGCTCACTGCAACCTCCGCCTCCTACGTTCAAGTGATTCTCCTGCCTCAGCCTCCTGAGTAGCTGGGATTACAGGCACCGACCAC